ATTTCTTTCCCTTTCCACGTCTTTCTTTTTTTTCATATCACAAGGCATGTTTTACTCAATGTTTCAAAATGACAGCGATGCCAAAGTTTATCCAGCGACGTCGTAGCATTTTCCTGAACATATCCAAATATATATTTAACAAACATGGAACAGAATAAATAAATGAAATTCAAAACAATGTTTTCACCCGAGGTGAGGCGAGATCAAACGACTTTGAAGCCTCTTGCCACTCATCTCTTCTACCTCTTTCTCAAATCTTCAAACAATCAGAGGGTGTACATTAAGTACAAGTGTTTGAGTGACAGATTTGTAGAGGGCGTTTCTGTGCATCTCCATTTAGAGTGTCAGGCTCTTGATTTTGTGTGCCTGGTGTGAGGTTTTCATTCTGTGCACTATACAACTTGTGTAACTTTTTGTGAATGGCATTTATAGCCATTACCAATCTCTAATCCTTCATCAGGGTTATAAGAAGTCAAATCACACAGTTGTTTAGGGACGTTACAACTATTTAGGGTCAGTACAGCTATTTGGAGAAGCGTGAAGTGCTAAAAGTTATTGAACAATTAAAGCTCATTCATAATTAAGTTCCTCAGATTGCCACACAAATTATAGTTTTAACCCCTTCAGACACCGAATTGTGTTCCAGTTTCTGAAAAATGCAAAAGTATGTTGTTGAGGCTTCTACTGTATACATGAGACCCAAATTCTAATAATAAAGATTCAACACCCTTTAGGTATATATATTTTTGGCCATTTCGATGAACATCAGGTCAGAAAAGTTATATATTATAAGTTATATATTTATTCATTCATTTTCTTGTCAGCTTAGTCCCTTTATAAATCCGGGGTCGCCACAGCGGAATGAACCGCCAACTTATCCAGCAAGTTTTCACGCAGCGGATGCCCTTCCAGCCGCAACCCATCTCTGGGAAAACATTGCTGGTATAATCTCCAAATTTTTTTTCAAAATCACAAACAAGGTTGTAACATTTTTATTTTATATTTAGGTTTTTGTTGTATTGATTGCACAGCAAACTTTATCTTCATCTTCCTCATCACTCAATGTCCACCCTTTAACTAAATAAGTACAATCCCTCCTTTTTACATACAATCTATGAAATATTGGCAAACATATCAATAAATTAAATTGGATTAATTAAACATAAAATAATTAAGTTGTCTCCAAACAATTGTGTTGTTTCAACTCATTTTAAATTATGAACGAGCAGCAAATGTCATTTTTTGAGTGTATGTTCCTCCATTGTATAGATTTATATAAAATTGTACTCAGAAATAAAATACGCGAGCTGTCACTGGGGTGGTACCTTTTCAAAAGGTACACATTTGCACTTAAAGTCCATATTGGTACCTCAAAAATGTATACTAGTATAAAACTTTTAAGAGGAACACTTTTGTTCTTTTTAGGTACTAATGTGTACCTTTGAGGTACCAATATGGACCCTTTAAGTACAAATGTGTACCTTTTAAAAAAAGGTACCACCCTAGTGACAGCTCGCGTATACTTTTATTTCTGAGTGTGTATTAAAAATTAAGAGACCACTTAGAAAATGTATAGCGATGTATTTTTGAACTAAGTTTTTTTTTTTTGTTACAAACCTTATTCTCCATTACTGGTGACAGGTACTCTACATGTAAAATAAAACATTTTTAATGTGTATAATAAAATAAAATATTTTCTCACATGTATATAAACATTTTAGACATTTAATTCCAACGTTTCAACTTTCAACAGAAAATATAAGAAATCAATATTTAGTCAAATTATCCTAGAGCCTGATTAATAGGCTCTATGCACAGAGCTTTAAAGCCTATAAACTTCTGGTGAAAGCGCAACGTGACAATTTTCAATTTCAAAAAGTTGTTTTTACAATGTTGATGTTGTAATTTATTGACAATGCATTCAGTCAAATATACTTCAACATTCATTTAGTTGTTCAAGCATAAAACAAGATGAAAGACCGTTGTAGCCGCTAGCGCCGTCAGTAGCAACATGCTAGCGCAGAAATTAATTTCCATATTTTAAAGACATGGGGCGGAAAGACAGAATTTTATGCTGTGCTTCTTGTTTGGTCTTAGACCCACTTCATATCGTATATCTAACAGGCTGTGAAGATCACAGATTTTTAAAGAAATCAGATCTTAAACATAAAAATTTTGCAAAAGAAAAGGAGTTCACCGGAAGCCATTAAGCTGCCTGGCCGAAAATTAAAAGTCCATGTACGTATCATAAAAATAATCTGAGTGTTGTTGTTTTTACTAATTATTTTATAAATTTAATGACAAACCATTTGATAAATTTGATTGTGCAAGTAATGACAGTCATGACTGTGTGTCTTTAAATAAAAGGTTTATTTGAGCCATGGAGTTTTGGACAATGCAAAATGCATTAAGGCAACCATTGTGAATTTAACAGTAAAATAGAAGTTTAATTTGACTTTTTTATCTTTAAGCCTCTGTGCACCTGTTGTCATTCAATGACTGTGGTACTAAGACATCTTTATTTTATTTTTTTATTTTTATTTATTTATTTATTTTTTAGAAATAAAGCTGAAAACATGCCACAAACAGATAACCCCTCTTACGGCCTGCCACAGAGACTTAAGAAAGAAAAGCAGAATCCCCATCACACGCAGTGGGCATCCTTATATGAGCCTCCAGACTGAAGTGAGCGCTCGCACCCCGCCTCGCTGTGACAGCTTGCAGCCGCGTTGACACCCCTTGGGAGTGGAGAGCGGATTCACTAACCTGCCGTTGTCTGCGGCCGAATAGCGCTTCCAATCTGCTGTTCTGATGGGGGGCTCGATTATTGGGACCTGTCGAAAAAAACACGAGGGGCAAACTGTTTGGGAGAAAGACGTGAAAGGCAGGACAATAGTTTTTCATGCGTGTTAGAGTTTTGTGTCACGCTGGGCTTTCAGAAAGAGCAGTCGCCCTCATTATTGCTCATTAACATTGCATACATTACCATTAGATACTTGTTATGAACTAAACGGCATAGTTGTCCGATAATCGCTTTTTGTGCTTCGGAAAAAGTAAAGAACGCTCAAGTATCAAACGTCAATGCAAGAAACTGACCTGTTTTTGGGGTGTAATCGCACAGGTCAACTTTTGATGTTTCTTTTGTGTTGTTGACTGTAGTTTGCTTAGTTTAAAAACAAGAAATATGTTCAGATAAGTATGTGTGCGTGTTGTTTTATTAAAGGCCTATCTAGTGTGTAAAAAAAGCTAAAATTCATTCTGAACTTCAGAACAAATATGTGCTAATAAAATAATTATTTTCATGAGCAGATTTTATTAAATAATTTAGTATTGCAATTTTAAGTTATGAATATACAACATATTTGACCACAAAAATTGTTTGCATTTATCAAATCAAAATGTCTGCAAATATTAAAACTTAATTAAATGGTCATGGCTAAAGAGACATGTCTGTTTTATGATTTTCATAACACATTATGTCAAACATATAACACTGACTTAATCTGGCGGAAAAAATATCTAAATATCTAATATTTTAATATTTTATATTTAAATATAATATTGAAGTATAGTGTGTATTGCAGGTGTATTACATTTTTATATTTTTTGAATACAATCATTTGTATGCCAACATTTTATATTTCGCCTTTTTAAAAGAAATATTTAGATTTTAATTAATTTTAGAGACATGCAACCACATATTTAATACTTTACGACCTTCAAAATATAATGATATTTAATATATAAATATATAAGTCGGTGTTTTTATTTTAGAACATTTAAATTCTGTGCATTTGATTTTATTATTATAATGCGCGTCACGTCATTGGCCTTTTTAAATGCCTCCAGGCCTCATATATGAAGTCTAACCGCGCGCCCTAAAAGTGTTGTAATTATAATTAAATACATCAGCCTCAGTACTTTAATTCAACTTTCAGTAAAAAAAAAAAAAACTCCATGGGCTAAATTGCTGGGAAAATGGGCGGATTGTGAGAAAGTGGTCAAGACGTGACTCAACGCGCGCTAGGAGGAGAGGAGAGAAAAGACCTCCCCACTCCTCATAATAACCCCATTATAAGGCTCATCAATGATGTAATGAAAGCAAACAGTGTGAAAATTGCCTGTAAACAGTTGGATCCGAGGCTCCTAATGAATTCAGTGTCTCTTTTAATCAAAGTGGGCGACCTGTGGGGAGGGGTTTATTGGGCGTGGGGGGGTCCAGTTTCCTCTTAGCGAGCCAGTCAACACCCCAAAACACCTCCTAACCAATGGAAGCGAGTCGCTGGGGACTCACGTGGAAGGGGTGCCCTTAAAAACCTAGCCACTGAGTTGTGCACAAGTTCATTTGTTAGGCTTTATCCGACTTTCCCTTCCCCAATGTGTCTGTTTAACCTGCATTACCTCATTTGCGGTTCTGTTTTCTCGCAGCGTTTTTTTTCTTCTGCGCTCCACCGTCCAACGATTTCGCATTGCATCACCTGCGCTGGCACAGAATGCACTTGCCTTTTCCATCCGGATTCAACTCTTACTCGCCACAGCGAACTACCTTTGAACTGATGAAAATTTCAGCTGCTCAATAGGCGCGAGGCTCGAATTGCTGCCGCTTTGCTTCTGTCCGTGGTGCTGAAATGCGCGCGCCCTCTAAGTAGGCTACCTTGTGGTTTTACACTAACACTGTTACTTCAGAACAGCTTTTTTTATTAAATAATTTGATAAATAATTCAAGCTACCGTCGATGCGCCTTCAGGAAACACCGGGATTAAAAAGTGTTAATTAAATTTGCCATCCGAGAGTATATTTAGGCTGTATTGATTTTTTTTCGAGGAGTGAGGAGTTTTTGGAGGCAGGCTCGGTCTGTACTTCACACAAAACCTCCTAAAGAAACCTCCCTTTTCTTTTTAAACTTAAACTAAAAGTCCTCAAGGAAGAAGAAAGTTTTTTTTTCTCAAGCAGGGGATGAATATTTCTCATTTCCGATTCTGCTTTGGATTTTCCTCCTGGATAGACCGCTATTAAATCGAGCGCCATTCACGCAGAACTTGGTTGAATACAGATGATAATCTGAACAGAGGCTTCACGCAAGCAGCAGTGTGGAGATGGAAGCGTCCACCAACGGCTCCAGTTTTGGAATCGACTCCCTGCTGTCCCACAGGCCCGGAAGCCCAGTCATCTCGAAAGGGGACAGTTTGGTTGGGGAATGCCGGTCCCCGCTGGAGTTCAGTCCCAGGTCAGACTTAGAGAGCGGTTGTTCTTCTCCTCCGTCCCCGAGGCGGGAGTGCGTTGAGGATGCGGCGCAGAGACAGGGTCACCCGCTCGCTTACGCGTCCCATTTGCAACACGGGCCGATCTCCGCTGGATCGCAACCTCGGACTGTCACTTCATCCTTTTTAATAAGAGACATTCTTGCTGACTGTAAACCTTTAGCGGCGTGCGCTCCTTATTCCAGCAACGGCCAGCCGACACAGGAGGCAGGGAGACTGGCATCTAAAATCGCAGACGACTTAATAGAAAAGATCCACAGTAACTCATCGTCAGACAGTGAATACAAAGGTAAAAATGCAAACTCGTTTTTAAGAGGCATTTTAAAATTATTTCACGGGAACTATAATTTGCCGTTTGCATTTTACAGTGTCCAGTCATGCCTTTGCTGACATTGGCTATATTGCTAAAAGAACTGGGGTTAGAAATTAAACGTACATGTAAAATTACAATGATTCTGTTACAATGGAATTTTCGTAATTGCACACTTTACTGTTTGTTTACTACTTTTGAATGGCCACTGATAGATAGATAGATAGATAGATAGATAGATAGATAGATAGATAGATAGATAGATAGATAGATAGATAGATAGATAGATAGATAGATAGATAGATAGATAGAAAAACAAAGCATATTTATATTATAGTCAACATTTTACAAGTATCTCGTATTTTTGATAATAAATATAAGATAAATGAATTTCTCTTAAATGCATTAATAGGGATTTTTTTGTTTACAGTGCATAAATTATTACACGACATATAAGACGTATTGTATATTTTATTTTGCTTTTTAAAATAAAAGCAAATTATAAAGTAAAATACGTCAAATGTGCCTTGTTTATTGTTAAATCATGCAGAACGAATGTTGAAAAAGAAAAAAAGCAACACAATTCTTTAGGGATTTCTTCATGTTAAATTAAATCTGGAAAAACATTTCTTTCTGCGACAGACCATTTCTTATTATTATCAGACCATTATTACTTAATATTAAGTATGTCAAGATGCGAATCATACATAACAATTTAATATTGAAAATGTAGAAAAGATAATTAATCAGAAAATCAATTGCTTATTGTCGTTATTACTGTCACAAAAAATAAAAAAAATAAAAATAAATAAATACATGTAGCCTACATGTTTATTTATATTTTTGTGGTAATGTTGGTGTGTGTATTTGGCCTAGGCTGAAGATGGCATTGTAGTTGTTGATTGCTAATTTGTTCAAAATGTTATCATCACAATCTTAGTGGAAGTAGGGCATGATGGGTCACGTGTATTCGCCAATAGACCTTCAGCAAGAAATCTAAATATATTTCTTCTCTCCCATCATAACATTATTAGCTTGGCAACTCTATAGGCGCGGTGATCAAAATTAATGCTCTCCAAATCAAAGCCATTCCATCTCCAGAGCGCTTGTAAAGAGTGTGTGCGCCGCTTTGATTTTTTTTGCCTTTCTAGCCTCTTATATTTCGGGGATTTGATGCAATTTGTCCCAGTGCTAATCAGATTTGTACCGCACGAGGTCGGTCCGCTCTTTATTTCGCTCTTATCCCCGGCCCTGTGAAGTTTCTCCGGTCTCGGTTGAAAGGTTTCCATCCCTTGTGGCTCAATTAGCCGGATTATTGTGCTCCTTGAGAGACGACTCAACTACTCGACTGGCAAGGTCTCTCGCGTCGTGTCCCTCTCTTTCTGGGTTCAGAGAGAAAAGAGTTTGGTTTAGAGAGAGGTTGAATTAAATATCACAAATTCTGAGGAGAAAAAAAAACATTATAGAGGCCATCAAGAGTGTGGAAACCTTTGACGCCATAACATGACTTGTCAAAATGGGGTGCATGCATGTGCTGAAATACACAGGCTAACTAACTCGTGCTAAAATGGCCTAATCAGTGCCCTTGTGTTGTTTTAGTAAAAGAGGAGGGCGACAGGGAGATCTCGAGCAGCAGAGACAGCCCGCAGGTTCGCCTGAAGAAGCCACGGAAAGCGCGGACCGCCTTCACTGACCATCAGCTCGCCCAGCTGGAGCGCAGTTTTGAGCGTCAGAAGTACCTGAGCGTGCAGGACAGGATGGAGCTGGCAGCATCTCTCAACCTGACCGACACGCAGGTCAAAACCTGGTACCAGAACAGGAGGTGAGCATGTGGTCAACTGGAAACGCATTTGTGTACATCCCATGCATTATTAAACATGCTGCAGAAATTTAATGGTAAATATTTTGGTGTTAAATTAATTTTCTAAATTGATATTCGTTTTATTTGGAAAAAAATGTACTTCATCAGTGTATTCAAATGTTTATTTATATATAGGCCTACAGTGTATTTTCTCTTTGATTTAGTATTCTCCTGCCAAACACAATAAAACACGTCAAATGACGTTGCTGCGTCACTTTTGATTTAATAAAAAGAAGGAAATGCTGCAGAGTAAATACTATTATTAATATAGCAAAAAATATTAGGAGCTAATAAATATATTTTACACAGCTTTCAAATTGATTTAAAAAAACATGGAAAAATTTATTTGAAAGATATTTTGTAAATATCACGAAAATCATTGCAGATAAAAGCAAAACATTACTCATGTTATATGTTTTATTGTTATTCTACACGTGGTTTCATGGCTTATTTTTATACTCCTGTAATTATGTGCCAAATTAAAAGATTTGAAATGAATATACAACATTTAATCCATTCTTTAATTATTCAACGTTTTAATGACGCGGGCAATCCTTGAATTGCTGAATTAGTTGTTTAATGTTAAAATACACGTTAAAATAACTCTCAGCACATTCATTTAAGTTAGTCACTTTTATTAGCCTTTTAGGTGTAAAATTTAGTTTTTCTGTTTTGTTCTTTTAACCCTTAATGATAATCATGTTATTACTGAATTGTGACGTTAAATGTAACATTAATGCTGATACCTGGAAACTGGAGATAAATCATTGATTTGTCAGTTTTTTTAAGGAAACTCTGGGTTTCATTTTTCTCTTGCGAATTGTCGTGCAATAATAAGCATTTTCCACTATTTTCTTTTTGTTATGTGCAGCTTTTATGACTTAGTAGATAAACTGCTGATTGCTAAATCATTTACATTTAATTATCTTTTGTACTAACAACATCCTGTTTCTCCCTGGGAAAAAAGGACTAAGTGGAAGAGGCAAACGGCGGTCGGACTGGAATTGTTAGCGGAGGCTGGAAATTACTCTGCGCTGCAAAGGATGTTCCCTTCGCCGTATTTCTACCCTCAAAGCCTGGTGTCGAATCTGGACCCTGGAGCAGCGCTCTACTTATACAGGGGACCTTCGGCGCCCCCGCCGGCGCTGCAGCGTCCTCTTGTTCCCCGGATTCTCCTGCATGGTCTCCAGGGCGCCAGCGAGCCGCCGCCGCCTCTGCCCCCCCTCTCCGGTGTGTTGCCCAGACCGACACCACCGCGATGAACGGCACAATTCAGACTCTTCTAATACTTGGCAGCTTTGAACTCCACCATCAAACAAACAAACAAATTAAAACAAGACTATTTTACTGGTGACAAAATATTGAAGATATATATGAGGCCACAAGAACAAACAAGTGGGCTTAAGTTATTTAATTATTTATGTTTCTTATGTTTTTTAACTTATATGTTTATATATATTTTTGTTTATCCCAAATGCTAAATCTGTAAAATAAAACAAAAACAAACCGTTATACACCTAATGCAATAACGGGACTTGACACTAAAGGGACACTTTGTTCATTTGACAAATTAATAATATTATTATTATTATTGTTATTGTTATTATTTTGAACTCTTCAGTATTACAAATGTGAATTCTAGGTGAGTCCCTGACGCAAATTATATTTAAATGGTAGATTCATATTTAAATATCCTGAAATCAAATCCAGGTCACACGTTAATAAATCGTGGGCTTTGTTGTGACTCTCTAAAATGTACAAAGAAAAAGAGGTGTAAATAAGAATATTTTGTTTTATGTTAAAAGACAAATTTCGATTTTGTCCCTCTTTTTGTATCATAGTTCCAAGCCTTACGTTAACAGGTGACGTGTGCAGCACAGGACAAATCAGAGCGTCTTCACTTAATGGAAAAGAAACTTTAATGAAGAAGTGTCACTTTTTCTGTTTGACATTTAAATGAACAAGCAGACAGACTGGACGTGATGGATTATTAATCAATTAATGATCGATTATTTTGTGCTGCTTTTAACGTTTCTGTGTTCCTGCACAACTGCCAGCAGTATCACTTTGATGTTGATGGGGAAGCGCCAAGTGTTCGCCCAGGCATTGTGCAATAACTCTGTATAAAGCCGTTGAAATATCTTGTCATTCTTTCTGGTGAAGCTGTATATTGAGAATAATGATTTGTGAAGTACTGATTCTCGTAATTCCAAATGATTTTCGTTCGTGCCCCCGTGTGCTTAGCGGTGTGAACTTCTTGGGAACTCTTAAAAACTGCTGGATATGTGGGGGAGGGTGGTCTTCAAGCAAGGAGAATTACTTTTATAAATGTGCTAATAAAGATCTTTCATTAATTTACCACTGACTGGGAATGTGGATGTTCCCTATACAAATACAGACAACGCAATTACACTGAACTAACAGACAATATAGAAGATATGTCGGTGGATAATGCGCGTGCCACACTTACTCATTAAAAAAGCGAGTACATTGCAACAATAACATACAATCTTTGTATTATTTATTGCACAAAACTATACATACCTGCGACTAGTGATGCTAGTTTGATTTCACTCTTAAAATTAAGGTTTCTTTGTGTTAATGAAATAATTTAATTCCACAAAAGCTCCTTTATTAGGGGGGAAGGATTTTAGACAAATATTGTTCACAACAATTTTTTCATAAATGTTTGATTCTTTAACCAAAATGCTTTTTCATGTGATTCTTTAACCAAAATGCTTTTTCATGTGACAACCAATTTTAGAACTTTAATTTTTAAGAGTGTAGCTACATAAAAGAAAAACATTTGGCTCTTTAACAACTGTACACGGATCTATAACTCAATCATTCCATTTTGCGTAATTCAAAGATATTCCAGAATTTATCTGTAATTCTACGATAAATAATTTAATGTTTGTAATTCCTGGTTCTAGTGGGCAAACACTAAATGATTGTATAATTTTCTAAATGGGTTTTATTTATATTAACGTGATGTGAAAAAAATACTCGTATTAAATACTGCTGAATATTCCATATGTGAAAGTTTCGTTTTATTTTAAATGTTTTCGTCTTAAAGTTATAAGAAATAATTAAATGAAACAAAAGATTATGGACAAAATGAAAATAAACCAATAAATACATCTCTAACGTCAAGCCACCGCTATTAATGTGTCCAGATTTACACAGCAATTTAATTAAAAAGTAGAAGTTTGCTTATGAAAATAAACGTAAACAACGCGATGGCAATATCATAAAACTCGAGCTCAGAAAAGGCTATTGCTGGCAAATGTGTTTGAATAATTTTAAACACGACTGTCAGACACTTTGCGCAAACCTCACACTATTTGGTTACCATCGTGGATTTAATTTGTCGAACCTGCCGGAGAAAAAAAAAGTTAATAAGAATGTCGCACCCAAGGAAAGTGAACATTCACCACCCCTAACCTTTCAGAAACGCCTGGAGATTTAGGCAACTTAATTCTACCTTCATATTTTAAAGTTTAACGTGACTACCTCTTATTAATAGGTCACACTTTAAATATCATTCTTGATGTGAATCATACGAGCCGCTTTCAACACACTTGTTCACTTTATTGGCAGCATGATAAAAAGGAAATAGGCTGAGTCTCTCTCACTCAACACTTGTCAGCCTCCATTGTCTCATGTTAAACTTAACTGACACTTTTCTTTTTTCTTTTCTTTTTTTTGCGCTGTGTCGTTTAGTTTTCATAAACAATATGTGAATGAAATATTAATGGTCACCTAAGTGTGTAATTGTTTAAGTGCCCTAAATGATCCCATTTGGAAATGGATTGTTTCCATATACTTTCTTGAGAGTGTTGGTTTGCTGCTCTTTGCCAAGCGGCCCCAACAGCTGGTCACCGGGCAGCGTGGACTACGACTCGGCTCAGCGACGGGACATCTGGTCAGCGGCACGACAGGAGCCCCCCTTCAATCCCCCTCCGCGAGCCTAACACTGACTTTAACCCAACCATGGGACCGGTCCGTAAAGCTCAGGGTTTAGGGAGCGCTCTGACAGGGCGTCTGAATGGGATATTAACAAGCAGACAAAAGACCTTAATAGCTTTTAATTGAACGTCGATAACGTGTGATCAGTCGGGCTCCTGCAGCAAACTTTCGCATAGCACATGTCATCTCCAGTCTCGTTGCTGCATGGGCTCCTGTCCATAAACCACTAGAGGAAAGAGAGAAAAACAATTCACTCAATTATTATTATTAGCTTGTTGAGGTGGGATTTATTTAGTTTGCTGTGTACTTTGCAAAATCTTTCTGAAAGAAAAACACAATAATACAAAATTAACAATGTAAACAAAATAACAATAATGCAAAATACATTCTAAATAAATCTGGGCTATTTCAACCCACATTTAAGTAGGATATTGACAAAGCAAAGTTAAACAAGAATAAAAAAAATCATAATGTACATATAACAATGATAAAATTTTATAGCAATATTACAAAATATATTCTAAGAAATCTGCGCTATTTAACCCAAATCAGAGTAAAATATGGACAAACCTAAACTAAACCCGAGCTAAAATTAATATAGGGCTACATTAAAGTTCATATTTGACCTGTATATAGCTTACAAAATAATAAAATTCAATATTTATCACACAAAGTGATATAATTAAATTAACCCAGTATTTAGGTTTGCATTTAGTTTCCCCCATATTTGAAATAACTCTGAATTATTAGCATTAAAAATAGCAGAATCATAGACATTCATTAATATTGCTTCGATTTTATTCAAACGTATACGTAAAACAACATGAATTCAGATCAAAGATTGCAATCATCACATCTGCACATGATCCAAAGGAGACTCTGACCCCCCTCAATATTTATGAAAAGGGTTATTCTTGCGAAGTGAGCAGCTGATTGCAAGAAAAGCTCCTCCGTCTTGTTAATAGACGCAGAGATTTTTGCATGTGAAAGGATAGTGGTAAATCCCTCGGCTCTTACCGCGGATTGTCCCCGGCTCAGGGTTAATGAAGTGCGGATAGAGTCTCGCTGATCTCCCGACAAACAAAAACACAACACGGAGAGCTTAGAGCCGCGGGATCAGTGACTCTGATTAAGCTCATTGACTCAGAATAAAAACCAAACAAAACAGCCTTCAGATGAAATTAAGAGTCAATCAAAGTGCAATTTGCATCGTGATTTGGCCGACTGTCTTTTTCCCATGTCTTTTTTGACGACTGCCTTTTTTGGTTTAACAGATGAAATTCAGTAAGGAACGGAAACAGCTGTCCTTTATTTACTTCTTTTCAAGACAATAAAACATATGCAATGCATATAATTCATTAGATATAATTTATTAATGGAAAATATGATGTGATATATAAATGTATGCTAATCAACATATTAGACAAATGGGTAGATATAACATTAAGCAGAAAAAATAGGTAGTCAGATGAATATATATATATAGTTGAACAAAAACAGTAGCAGACAAATAAAACGATTGTAAATAAATTGTAAATAAAGTTAAACCTTACAGATTCAAGGTTTTATTTCAATTTACTCAAATATTAACGTGTAATACTACAAATATTAATATGTAAATAAGGGACCAAAAACAAAATGAGGTTTTTGAGTGATTTATACTATAAAGATTTCCTAAACTTCTGCAATATTGAATATAAATGTAAATATTTTAATATTTTGAATATTATCGTAATCATTTTTCCTGTTTTAAAAGTAATGGACGTGTTTATTTTTTGCATAAATGTTACACTCATAATTTTACCAATATTTTGACATTTTATTTTAACAAGGGTTATTAAAAACAGATATAAAAAAACAATTTAGTAGCATTTAATATACTATCAGCATAAAACTGTAAAAAAAAATAATAATTTTAATTTATATAATATTGCATAATGTGAAATAATAAAAATAATCTGTCCAAAATGATCAACTTCAATGCATTTTTTAAAAATCAATATTTATCATGATTGCCCTCTATGAGTAATCTACATAATCATCCTGGATGTTTGGACGGAGATCTGGAAACTGGGACAGCAATTGGGCAACAGGATCAGTGGCACCTGCTGCAGGGTCAGGACACCCGTGACCCTCAGGGGAAGGTGATTGGGACACATTCACTCACATTTGTCCTCTGCATAAACTTATCTGGCCATAGAGAGAAGCAGGGGAAGACAGATGGAGTTGTACAAAATCTGAATCAGCAACACACAGAAACATTTAGAAAAACAGGAGGTACAGCAAAACAATAGAAAGATATAGAAACTAGACAGCGAGCGGCTCCCA